TTTATAATATAGCTATACATGCTTTTTTCTTGATTTATTAGCATATCTATAATGCGTTTAATGATTGTATTTTCATACTTTGTTAATGATCAATTAATAATTTCTAAAATGAAGTATAAAATTATTTGCAAACCAGTTGTTTAAAAGTTGTCATTTCATTCATAAGACCACTTAGAAAGTGTAAGTAAATGTAGTAAATACAGGTAGTTATAAAGCATTTAGTAGTGGTCAGTTAACTATTTTTGTGAGCTAATCTAAAGTGAGGACTATTCATGCTTTGTAAAGCATTTATAAAAGGCGATTTAAAAGACTCGTCAATCTTCTAAACAGTAAAATGTATCAAAACACAACGCATTGATACAGAACATAGAAATATTTAACAGCCTTTAAAAATGCTTTACAAGGCATGACTAGTCCTCACTTTTAGATTACTCACAAAAATAGTTAACTGACCACTACTAAATGCTTTATAACTACCCAAATTAATCCTTAATACAGCATTAATACATGTTAATAAAGCATTTATTAACACATTAAGTAACCATCACTATATGTGTGAATAATAAGATGTATGAATGTACATTTAAATAGTTTTATTAATCATTTTACTTACTCGCTCTAAGTAATCGTATGAACCCGGACAACTCTTAAATAACTGGTTTATAAAAATGCAATTCTTCATTTAGAAATGATAAATTGGTCATTAATAAAGGATGAAAATACAATTATTAAACAAATTATAGATATGCTTTTAAATCAAGAAGAAAGCATTTATAGCTGTATTTATGAACTGCTTATTAATGTCTATTAATGCTTTATGAATGATGAAGTAATGGTTTACTTATGCTTAACTAATGATTATTAGCGTGTAGTTATTATAAAGTGTTTCCAAAAAACTTTGCAATGAACTTTGCAATTTAGACACGCAAACTGTGTGCCGGTATGATGAGACCTTACTGTCTATGGGTGAACATACATGCTCGGGCAGATTCGGCTTGAAGTCGTTCATCCTCGGACGCGGCGCCGCTACAAAAAAAGCCGTGCACACAGCCAAGGGGAATTGTGTCGGTCTTGCGCACCAAACGCGTCATTTTTTGCCGTGCACCTTCACGCTCGTCGGACGCGTCGAAAATAAACTAGGCTTTACTCCGTGTCAGCGCGCGCTCTGATAAAAAAAATGTTTGTGAAAAAAATATTTTAATAACATGGTTTTGGCGGTTATAGAGTTCTAATGACGGTGTTCAACTATAACCGTCATACCCCTTTGTGAATGTACAAAATCTGCTTCACCGTCGCTGTGCTGTCGTCATTGTGTAAAGCCCGCCCCACCATTTCTGATTGGTGCCGCGATTTCGGCGGATTGGAAATGGGCTTGAATGAGCTCTTTGCCAGACTAACTTTCAGAGCAAATCTAAATCTGCCGGAAGTTGTCTAGGTTTTCCCAGGCTAAGTGAGGCCACAATGTCGTGATGTCGTTTCTCTGTGCACCTGATGCAGTTGTCTCGTAATCGCAGGGTGTAGCTGGGAACCCAATGGTCAAGTCTGTCCTGGATAAAACCAAATACTCTGTGGAATCCATGATAACAACATTGGATCCTGGGATGGCACCTTACATCAGTAAGTACTGTGTGTCCCGCACTGCAGAACAATAAGCAAAATACAATCTATTCAATAGATTGTATTTTGCTTAGTTTTAGCTTTTTCATTTTATTAAAGGGGCTATATGTAAGAATTTTCATGTATTAATTGCTTTTTGTATTGCCAATGTATGAACCATTTGTAATGGAACTTGAAAAAAAAACCTAGGTTGTGTATGAAAGTCTGTAGACTGATTATTATGTGAAGGACTCTTCTAAAAAAATCTAAAGGATTTAAAGGGTTAGTTCACCCAAAAATGAAAATTCTGTCAGTATTTACTCACCCTCATGTTGTTCCAACCCCGTAAGACCTTCGTTCATCTTCGGAACACAAGATATTTAAGATATTAAGATCGCTCCTGCATACAGTCCATAGGCTTCTTGAGGGACTGGCTCTTGCTGTCCTCGAAAAGTCATTAAAGACATCGTTAAAATAGTCCAAGTGACTACAGGGGCTCAATCTTAAGTTTATCAAACGACGAGAACACTTTTGTGCGCAAAAAAACAACAAAAATAACGACTTTATTTCAACTATTCGTTTATTTCTCCCTCTGCGCGAGTCAGGTTACTGGTTTAATAGCGTAAGCTTCTGTTATTGTACGTCACACGCATCACACACACATGACCAGCGTCAGCCAATAGTGAGCCTACGTGTGACGTAGCTCTACGCAATCACACTACGTTAACTGACTTACAGGCTCATGGAGAAGGAAGTGATAGTTGAAATAAAGTCGTTATTTTTGTTGTTTTTTTGCGCACAAAAGTGTTCTCGTCGTTTGATAAACTTAAGATTGAGCCCCTGTAGTCACTTGGACTATTTTAACGATGTCTTTAATGACTTTTCGAGGACAGCAAGAGCCAGTACCTCAAGAAGCCTATGGACTGTATGCAGGAGCGATCTTAATATCTTAAATATCTTAATTTGTGTTCCGAAGATGAACGAAGGTCTTACGGGGTTGAAACAACATGAGGGTGAGTAAATACTGACAGAATTTTCATTTTTGGGTGAACTAACCCTTTAAGCTCTTGAGAGCCTCTCTTCTGTTCAGTGACGCATTAATCGAAAGCTGATGTTCAGGATAATGCAAAATTATTTCAAACTCTAGTCTCACATAGTCAAATCTATATAGTCTGTAGTCTCAAGTATACTTTATAATAAAACTATCATATCAGTGTAATTTGAATGACCTTGTCAGTCGTCATGATGCCGGTGAATCGCAGGACTGGAGCAGACATCCTCATCGCTATGATCAGATGCTTTCTGAACTGCTGTTTTCTCACCGCTGACATGCTGTTGTTTATCTTGTTATTGAGGAAAGCACACAGCACATATTTTCATATTCATCTAAACGTTGCTCTCAGCAGAGTGGACAGTGTCAGCATGTTTGTTAACAGTATATCGCTGTAAAGGTATTTCCAATTCCTTTTTACTTCTAAGCGAAAAACGGAAAAGACCTTCTCTGTGAGTATATCGGGGCCTTGAATCACGATCAGTCTCTAGTTGTGCACAAGTGCAAGTAGTCACCGGCTGCAGTTCACTCGATTGCCACTGGTGTTGCTAAATCACAGGTTTCTGAATTTTACAAATAGCCCCTTTAAAGTGTAAATTGCAGGTTAAATTTTTCACAAAGATAATGCCAACGTGCTTACTAAACATAAAGATAAGAACCGCCCACAATAGTTTTTTTTTTTTATATACCAAAATGCTGCATATAATATGAAAAGTTGGTACGTTTTACAGTGTTTTTAAGAACTCCCTTCCACTAGGCTGGGCGTGACGTCATAAAAGGGACTCCAAGCTTTTACGGTCTATGCCTGGTCAATGCTCCAAGCCTAGAGTTAGAGTTAGTCTAAACGGCAAGTAGGCTAGCAGTTATATTGGAGACCAAGCTAGCAAAAATGTTAACTATTGTGTTTGTACGGGATGTACAAATACATAAAAAACGGGGGACAGGCTCCACAAGTTCCCCAACAACAAACGACTGATTCGTGCCTATAAGTGTTAGCATACCCGAGGTAGATCTCACAATCTCTCCACAACCAAACCATACGTGCCAACCCGTTTGACTAAGGCTGTCGAGCCCCACTGGTGGGTTAATGCAGTTTCAGTGGCAACGGTTCCGTATGGCACACCACCAACGGCAAAACACAATATCTGTCAACCACCCGTCATTCACGCAATATACACAGGAACGTAATGACTGTAAATACTATCCAACCTATATAAATAACCTATAGACTTAAGTTTTATAATATTAAATGCATTCGATCTGATTCAACAGAGGAATAAAAGGTAAGCATTATGTGAATGCTTGGCTAAAGAGAAGCATCTTTAATCTAGTTTTAAACTGGGACAGCGAGTCAGAGCCTCGAACAATATCAGGAAGGCTATTCCAGAGTTTTGGAGCTAAATGCGAGAATGTTCTCCCTCCTTTAGTGGACTTAGATATCCTAGGAATGACCAGAAGCCTCGAATTTAGTGATCTTAAAGAACACAATGGATTGTAGGGCGATAGAAGGTCCATTAAATACACAGGAGCTAAACCAGTTAGGGTTTTATAGGTCAGTAGTAGTACTTTGTAATAGATACGGAATTTAATAGGTAACCAGTGTACAGATGATAAAATTGGTGTTATATGATCATATTTTCTTGACCTAGTAAGAACTCTAGCAGCTACATTTTGCACTAACTGTAGCTTGTTTATTGAGGATGCAGGACAACCAGCTAATAAAGCATTACAGTAATCTAGTCTCAAGGTCATGAATGCATGAACTAACTTTTCTGCATCAAAAATAGATAGTTACGTAGCTTAGCAATGTTTCTAAGGTGCAGGCATGTGATTGGCTAAGGACAAAAAAGCAGGAAATATACCGAGCCCCCACCCCCCCTTGGATATATATCCCAATATCTTTTCTGCAAAGTGAGAGCAAATGTATAAGCAAAGTCAAATATAGTCTTCACTGTATAAATTATACATTGATTCTTATTAAAGCTACTATTAAAGTTCTCAGTCAAGAGCAGTGAGTGATTTCCTCTGTGTTTTGTTGTTTAATTAACATTAAATAGATAGTTCTCCCAAAAATTGTAATTGTCATCATTTACTCTCTCAAGTTGTTTTAAACCTAACCAAACAGTTGATGTACCCCAGTGATTTCCATAGTAAATTTTTCCCTATGGAACTCAATGGGGACCAGCAACTGTCTGGTTACCCACATTCTTCAAAATATCTTCTTTTTTGTTCAGCACAAGAAATAAATTAATACAGGTTTGGAACAACATTACAGTGAATAAATAATGACAGAATTTTTATTTTGGGGTCAACTATCCCTTTAAGAACAAGCGACTGCATTTTTATTATTAGGGCTACTGTCACTTTAAGACCTGTACGCGACACGTCTAATATACACGGAGCATTTGACAAGCAGATTTCTCTCAATTTTCTCGGTTTGCTTTGAGTTTAGACATAAAAAAATGTTCTTATGTTAACCTTGTGTGTATTTGAGAGTATTATAGCGAAATAATACTCGAAAGATAACTTAGTCCAGCAACCAGGCGCTGTTAGACAAGCTTTTAGTGCATGTGCACGTCGGGTGTTCGCGCTCAGAACAGCGCATCAGCAGTGAATGACATGTTTAACTGGCGGCAAGGCTTTAAAGCACATGCAAATTAACTTCTGTGAACTCGCTGAACTGATGTAGCCGTTCCTCTGCGTTAAAGGTTCTCTAAGCGATCCTGGGTGTTGACGTTCGGAATATTTTCAAACAAATCGGAGGCTAGCTAGACACTCCCTCCTCCGCATCTCATCTCCTCCCCCTCCCTTCCGTGCTTCCTGAAATAATTGTGAACGTGCATAGTTCTAGCTAATTATATCCTTGTGTGGGTTTGGCGAACATAAGCGTCAATTTAGAAGAACAAAAAACAGAGCAACCTGAATGTCTGACTGGAAGCCCTTCTGCCGCTGGAGTTCTCGCCATCGTTCAAAAGCTTTGCTACCGATGTAAATTCGAAACTTCGCACGTTCTTTATCCGACTCCTTCTTCTTTTTAATTTGTTCTTCAGAACGACGTCTCTTTGGTCGTGTGTCGGCCATTTTTCAAACTTCCCTCTGATGCTTCCATAGATGCTTCTCTCTCCTTCACACACAGACCCCCTTCATGTGCACGCGCACTAACTCCCCAGACCCACCCTCAAATACTTCTTGCCAGTGATTGGCTGGAACACTGTTTGTTAGGTTTCGTGGTCCGGGTGAGACATGATTGTTTTTGTTGCCGTTTGTGGAGCCTGTGGTGTCTACAGAGACCGCGTTTTTTTACAGTGTGTTTAGGGGACAGGCAGCTAGCCGATAGTGAGGAGACGTTTGATGTATGTGACAAAAAATGTTTTGTCCCCACATCGCTTAGAGAACCTTTAATATTGCGAGTATTTGTCGCGTTGTACACTAATGCTGTTGAGACGGAGGTGTCAGGACTGCAACTGACAGAATGCACGATATAGCTGCTACATATTTCTACAAAAGCAGTCAGCAGCTTGCTTGAAGCAAGGATTATAGCGCAAATTTGAAATATATCGATATATCGCCCAGCCCTGGTGACCTAACTGTGATGTTCTTGTCAACTGACAACGATACCAGCGTGAGAGCGACTGAGATACGAATTGAGCAGGAGAACAAGCTGAACCAATTAGACATTCTCTGGCTGAACACAAATACGTCCTTGTTGATACTTTGAAAGGAACTTTCTGTACGCACGTCAGCCAGTTATGGGTTATGTCCTCATATTCTCTCCTTTTCACTCCGGCTGCCGACACCCGTCCCCCTCTTTTTTTTTTAACTGCATGTCAGTTTTTTTTACTGCATTTTTTTTAAGATCTGCATGATTCACGTAGGTCACATTTTCAGGTCGGAAAATCCGGAATTCCGGATTAATCTGGAAAAATCACATCCCTGAAGGTGGAAAAAGGCTGTTCTTGTAACATATGAAATATGGTGTTTGAAAGACAGGTTACGGTCTAGTATAACACCCAGGTCTTTTACTGCAGTGGATAAAGTAACAGGACATCCTTCTATATTAAAGGAGAACTCCGGCGCAAAATGAACCTTTGGTTTAATTACACATTGTTACCTAGTAAACCGTTATCTGAGATTTGTTTTCATGATTGCTGAATGTAAATAGTTTTATCTCTAAAAACAGTTTAGTCTATAACGCTAGTATATAGGGCATAGAGTAATGACAACTAAAAATCGCTTGTTATTACCACTAACAAGGCTCAAAATAGCCCCACAGTAAAACGGTAGCATAATAAGGGTCTCTACATTCAAAGCGAAGCATTGAGAACTTTGTCAGTGTCCATAAAGTTTAATAAGAAGATACTTTATACACACAGTCAACTTCGCGAATACAGGAAGAAGCCATCTTTGAAAAATAGTCTCTACCAGTCGATCTATGAACGCCGATCCAAGTGCGCTGATGAGATGTGAATAAGGTGAGCGCGAACAGTAGGCTATGTGTACATATTGAAGAGAAGAAAATGGTTCGTGTTTGTGTTTCTTCCGGAAACAACGGACCATATGAGATTCTGCACAGTTCAGCGCACTTGGATCGGCGTTCATAGATCATGAATCATGAAAACAAATCTCAGATAACGGTTGACTAGGTAACAATGTGTAATTAGACCAAAGGTTCATTTTGCACTGGAGTTTGTTGTGGCAGATTTTCAGTCCCAATTCAAATCATCAAAGTCTGGTTCAGGTCTTGAAGAAATTGCTCAGAGTCAAGGTTTCAGGTCTCAGAAGAAGTAACTTTATTGAGCAGTTCAATAAAGTGAGATGCCAGCTGGCCATCTGATCTTACAATGGTCTGCACTCATTTCTTATACCTTGTGGTAGCCAATTAGCGCTCAAATTGTTATCTCTTCTCTCCTGGCTCCTCCTTATTACTCCTCCCAGATTAAAAACACCTGCATCATCATTTTATTTTTAATTGGGGCAAACTTCTCTGCGCATGCGTATCATTTCTTTTTACACAATGGGCTCCTTGTTTCAGTACACTTTTCCCAGTGGCACATTGTTACATTGTATACAATCTGTTTCTCTCCCAGTGCCTCCCAACACCTGCATCTGTGCTACAAGTGTTTTTTGGGTACTTTTCCACTCTCTCGTCCCTGTCCTCATGTGCCCTAAGACCCTAGTTTTTTCTGCTTGGCATTACATCACATGCATGCTTCTTTCACATGTACAGCACTCTTTTTTCACATGTACATAGGACAAGCAGAATTCTCCAACAAGTTCTCCTTTAAAGTTGTATTGTAAGAGGTTTTGTGGGTAGTTTTTTGGACCAATAAATAATACCTCCATTTTATCTGAATTTAGTTGCAGGAAATTACGCATCATCCAGCATTTTATATCTTTGAGACACTCAGCCAATTTAGATGAGTTAGTGTTTTCATCTGGTCGTGATGAAATATATAATTGAGTGTCATCAGCATAACAGTGGAAATTAATTCCATGTTTTCTTATAATATTACCATGTGGCAGCAAATATATTGAGAATAGCAGAGGGCCTAACACCGATCCTTGCGGTACTCCATAGTCTACTGAGGTTATCTTCAATTATCCGTTATCTTCGAGTCCTGCGAATCGTTTTATTCTCCCTCAAACCGCACACACAGAGTGAGTGCATTACCGCCCACGCTCCCATTTATGACGTCATCACCCAGTTACTGTAAAAAACATGCTACCTTTGAAGAAACCCCAATAAATGTTATTTTAACGCATTTTAAGACAGAATTTTTTTAATATATACATATTTAGCACTTTAATTTACACATTAATTGGTTGTGGTGGTTAACCTGCAATTTACACTTTAATGCTTAAGTAGGGTTTTGTTTTGTTTCTAAATAATTGACTATTTCAGTTCAATTCAGATCAGTTATTTTATTTTGTCCTCTTTACCCACAAATCATCACAACACCTCATTGCATGACGTCATACAAACAATATGAAACCTACAGTTTCATATTTCATATGTAATTCTAGATGTCAGCCACATCGCCAAAACTGTTTCATACAGTACGTTTAGCTAACTGCTGAGAAATGTGCACAGAACCGCACTGTAATGGAAATCCCTCTGGAACCGATACTTGATTTCCTCAGAAATGCTCGGCTTGATGGAGGTAAAGCACTTCATGTGATTGTCATTGTTGAATGGTGTGTGTTTCAGAGTCTGGAGGAGACGTGGACATCGTTGTGACATCAGATAAAGAAGTGAAGGTGGCAGCGGTGCGCGACGCCTTCCAGGAAGTGTTTGGTTTGGCCATGGTGACTGGAGAGGCGGGTCAGTCCAACATCGCCCCGCAGCCGGTGGGATACGCCGCAGGGGTCAAGGTGAACGCGCCTCTGCTTCATGTTCTCCTCATGAAAACAGAACATTTCACAGGAAATAGAAAATCAGCTGACTTCTGAACTGACCTGAAGGGTGTGTGTGTGTGTGTGTGTGTGTGTAGGGAGCTCAGGAGCGCATTGACAGTCTGCGTCGCGCGGCTATCATTCATGAGAAGCAGCCAGTAGTCTCGGTGGAGAACTTCATAGCTGAACTCTTTCCAGACAAGTAAGATGTTCATTCTGTAAAGACAAAAACAGCAAAAGCATCTTGCATTTAACCAAATACTTCAGCCTCAGCCATATGGACTACTTGCACTGAGCTTCGCGACGCACTTCCGTTTGGAAACAATACATATCACTTATTTCCGGTTACGTTTACTTTCAATGTACTGCGGTCAATGAGTTGAACAAACACCATCTAAATGAGTGTTTGTAATAAGATTTTATATTTTCGACATTTTTATTGACAGAAGAAGGGATATTCTGATGTTAACCGTGTGCAGAATTTTCAAAACTCATCGGAACGTTAAGTTTAAATCCAAACCAAGCCAATACGAGAAAGCTGCGGCTGTTAAAAATACACCATTATATCACCACAGGGTGTCAGTGTTCGTCTACACTAGTGACCGCGACGCTGAAACATCATTATGTCAGTAAATAAATATTGTCTGTAAACAAACATCAGTAGATACATATTGTAATCAATTCAGTGTCGTTTTTCCAATGTCAATCATTTTACTATTACATGTTCATGCCCAAAATGCTTAATTAATATTCAGAGAAGCTGACTGTCATTCTAGCTGCGTGAGTTCTGATCGTAGCTAGGCACCTAGCGATCATTCATTCATTCATTAAACTATTTTAAAAAGGAATAAAGCATCAATGCACACTTTTTATTAGTCAAATTCATTAAAAAATGTAAACTCAAGTATAGAATATAAGTAGGCTAATACTCTTTTTAATGAGAAGACAGAAGACTACTGCAGGTTAGTGGATAAATATATTTAGCCTATTTATTATTCAGAATCGAACAGTTAGAAAGAAAATATATTTACAGGAACATTTCAGCAGGCTCAAGATAATTAATACAGAGATCGTTATTCATTGTTTTAATCAATTGGCATCCATAAAACGTAGTGATAATCTGCATTCTCATGTATGGACGTGCGAAGAACATTTTAACCGGAAACTCCTGCTATGTAATGAGTAGAACGCGGAAGTAGTTGTGCAAGTAGTCCATTACTGTGGGCTATTATCAATAACATCCTTTCAACATCAACAAAATTCATCTGTACACTTACTGTAAAGGTGAAACTGAAGCTGCACTGACATTAACATGTTTATTTCTCAGACTGTTTAATGTTACTCAAAGGTGGATACTTGTGTTAACACAACAATTACATGATGTAAACTGACTGCTCAAACAAAATCTCACTAAATGGTAGGGCTGAAATGTTATGATAAAAATCATTGTTTTCGATTGTTGCTCCTCATATTGTCAAGTCACATTTATTTATATAGGGCTTTTTATAATACTGTACAATACTGATAGTGATTGTTTCATGGCAGAGTAATGTTTCTGAATTGTGTTTGGGGAACGTCATGTCACTTTCTGCCTACACTGACAAAAACAAGCTAAGAAACCATTCATGAATTAGTTTATTTAATTTTATGTATTAAAAAAACAAGACTTCACACTGGTTGTCTAGCATGGAAAAACAACAAAATAGTAATTCAAACTGGAAATAGAGTTTTATAGAGAAAGGAACATTCCCCATCTTTAGTCTACCGCTAGTTATGCAACATGCACTCTGGCAAAACCCCTCATTATATTCAGTGTCTACACTGGAAATGAAGCATTCACACTTAGCAGGTTTGGTTGCATTCAAATGAACTCTTTGCAGGCGGTCTCAGTCTGCCTCCAAACAAACTCTGATCTTATTCGATATGAACGCAACATGAACCAAAAACATCTATACGAACCAAAAACAGGATGTGTTGTCTAGGGGTGTGATGAGATTTCGGATCTGCACTTTAGGATGACAGAATTCCTTGTAAATTCAGTTCATGACTGCCTCCTATTGTGATGCCTCGATTTGCTAATGAAGCGTGTTGATTGGACCAGTCTTACTGACAGTTCTCCAAATGTACCTGGAAAAGCTTAAAGGAAGCAAACGCTTTTGTTCTGCTTCCTTTTCCTCTATCACATGTTTCATGTCAAAAGACCTTCATCATGACAGGAGAAACTGGGCATCTGTATCTGTCTGTCTCCATCAGGTGGTTTGACATCGGCTGTCTGATCTTGGATGATCCTGGGAATGGGATTCACATTGAGACGTTCACTCAGGCTACACCGGTGGCCCTGCAGCACGTACAGCAGGTAAAACCCACTGATCTATATAATGACTGGATAGCTCATGGCGTTCTAAACTGCCACTAGGCGGTGAAGCCAACGGAAGTGTTTGAGCGGCCATCTTACGATTCCCTACCAGCAGAGGGCTCCAATGGCCGTTATACAGAGATAGTAGCTCTGACAGCACTTTTAAGAGGACCCACTGTGCATAAACAAGTGTTAAACGAAGTCCACAAAAGGATCTACAAAAAAGGATCTCTTCAGCGCCTGCAACACAGCAGAAATAGACTGGGTGAGGGAATGACATCCGACGTGTTTTTTTCTTGATTTTTGGATTTCTACCTTAAACAATGGTTTCTACCAAGGATGGCATATTGGTATGCAATACAACTGAGTCTGCACAGGATGTTTATTTTGAAATTGACAGTGTTTTGACGGTGCGACTTGGACGCGATGTCCGTCGAAAAAAGACTCGGCGCCTATCTTTGGCAACGAGCCGCGTCACGGCTGGTTCACTCACATGCATTGACTAGAGTGGGCGCAAACGTGAACGTGTGCAGTGTATGGGTAAATAAGAGGTGAAACAGGCGTACATTAAAGGAACACTCCGACTTTTTGGGACTTTAGCCTATTCACCTTACCCCCCAGAGTTAGATAAGTCCATACATACCTTTTTCATCTCCGTGCGTGCTATAAGTCTGTTTGACGCACCCACCGCTAGCCTAGCTTAGCACAAAGACTGGATGTGAATGGTTGCAGCTTTCATACTAATCCAAATGAGTGGCAAAATAACGCAAGCGTTTTCCTATTTACATGTTGTGATTTGTATAGTCAGATAATGTACAAAGTCAAATGAGACACAGACATCTTTTAACCGTATAAAACCTGGGAACTATTCTCTGAAGGCGAAGCACTGCTACATTGACGGAGTGATAACCGCATCACCTGAGACACGCCGTGGTGAGGAGCGGAGAGTTCGCTCAGTGTTTGGGTAACAGAGTCAGCAATTTATAAATAGTAAAAGCGTAGTTTAGAGTCATGGGTTTTCGCTCTATTGTAAATAGCTGCGACAGTAAACAGGGGAGGTAACCATGTTTCACAGAATTCCAACTAAAAACGCTGACTGGATGAAGAAATGGCTAACTTACTCTGGATATTTATCCAAACACACCTAAATAGATTATCAAGGGACATTATGTTTGCTCGGTACATTTCAATGGACGACTATTTTGAAAAAATGGAATTTGCCACACGGACCATAATGTGCTGAAGGATACGGCCATCCCATCGATAGCACAGACAGGACAAGTGGATCACCTGCGGCTGAGGTAAGTGTTCCGTTATGTTTTTAGATGACCTACTGTAACAGTGCCATTAGCCAGAGCTAATGTAACGTTAGTGACACTATTATATGATTAGGGTATGAATATGTTTTTATCTTGATGCGGTGCGGACGCGCTTGGAAAAAAAACGAGCGCGTTCACCGCGCTGAACTTGCACCCTGCGTGCGGCGCACCTAGTAGCCTAAATTTGAAATAACCATGGAAATAACGAACTTGAGCGTGCAAAAGGGTACGATAGGCTGTGAGTTCATTGTGCAAAAACAATTTGTGCTATTACTTTCCCCTTATTCTATCCTATAGTAATGCAATTATATTGTATATTATATAGGCTACTGTTGAATACATTTGGTTCTGCTTATAAATTGCATTTAAAATATATTGATTCCTGTAATAATAATTATTTATTCATGTGATATTTATAAATCTGGGTGCGTTTTTGGTTGGAAATCAATGAAACATGGTACTTACCTGGTCTCCCCTGTTTATTGTCACAGCTCATACAATAAAGCAAACACCCATGATAAACTATGCTTTTCTATCTAACGTTAGTAATTGCTGACTCTTTACTCCAACACTGAGCGAACACTCTGCTCCTTGTCACGGTGCGTCTCAGGTGATGGTTATCACTCTGCCCAAGTAGCAGTGCTTCGCCTTCAGAAAATATAGTATTTATACGGTCAAAAGATGTCTGTGTCTCATATGGCCTTGATATTTGCACACTCTGTGACTATACAAACCACAACATGTAAATAGGAAAACGTTTGCGTTCTTTTGTCACTCATTTGGATTAGTATGAAAGCTGCAACCATTCACATCCAGTCTTTGTGCTAAGCTAGGCTAGCGGTGGGTGCGTCAAACAGACTTATAGCACGCACGGAGATGAAAAAGGTATGTATGGACTTATCTAACTCTGGGGGGTAAGGTGAATATGCTAAAGTCCCAAAAAGTCGGAGTGTTCCTTTAACCCATTCAATTTGTATATTCATTTTCTGAACATGTTTTTGCTAACTAATCAAATACTTGAACAGATCTATATGTAAAACAATCCGAAAGAGCTATATTTTAAGTTCACAATACACATACTTAATTTTTAATAAGCAGGAATAATTTTCCACTTTAAACAAATACCCATTTAAATGTTTAGGGTGTTTGCGTTGTAAGACTGTTCAGGGAGACTTTAGATTTTAAAACGGTGTCCCGTTATGCAATGTTTTCTCAGTCAATTCATACAATTTCCTATTGATTCAATAGAACGCGTGAGCTCACTAGGGAATCACAATATGGCGGCGCGGTGGCTTCACTGTTTATGACGTCATGAGCTATCCAGTCATCCTGCAACCAAAATCTCTCTCTCTCTCTGCCATCTTTTGGACATTCATCATGTCACATTGGTTTTAATTTCTTGTCCTCGAACAGAGCCCTAATCTGTTTATTTTTCAGTTACACATTCAACATTGATTAAAAAATAAAAATCAAATGTGTTTTTATTTTATAAAGAAATAAATGATTTATAATTCAGCTGAGAATAAAGTTAAGGTTAGTTCAAATTTTAAGAAAAACAAATATATGATCTGAAATATAGCACATTCGTTTTAAATTCATTCAGGTTCAATTATCAAAAATACAATCTTGTATGCATATTTTGTTAAAAAAGAAGACCTATATCCAGAAAGACAAGGCCTTACACTTTAACAAGGGTGCAACTCTTATCACTGCAACAAACGTAGTCACACACACAAGACACATCACTTACATTTTGGATGCAATATTGACTTTTTTTCTGTTTCAGCAGAGAAAATAGTTAGACAAAGATCACAGCGAACCATTGCGCATCTCAAAGCAATGTGTTTTCTCATTACTGAATGATTCAGCATTTTGAACGAATGAATCCATGACTCGTTCATTAAGAAGGTCGCCTGGCGACACCTTATGGTGATTTAGGTTATGTTTAAAAGTATCGTTCTTTACAACGGTAGCATGGAAATAGAGACTAGTAGGTTAAAATGATTGAATGTTAAAACGGCTTGCCAATCTGTCCTAGTCACAATTACGTTACAGATATCCTAAATGATAATACAAACTATCCAAAATGTAATTACGACTAGTCAGAAAGACGTTGTTATCTACAATGTTAATTCCGGATAGTCAAACTTAGCTTTTAAATGTTAAAAGGGCTTGCCATTAGAGCTGGGTTTCGATTCAAATTTCAAGAATCGATTTGATTCCGATTCTCAAGATCTTGAATCGATTATCATTTTTCGATTCGTGCCGTGTATTTGAATTATCTAGGAGGAGTATTTCAAATTCCACTAAAGAATAACACTAAAGGCACCATATATATACTTAAATATAGCTGCGAGCAGCGATGAAGGGCCAAAGCTGGCGGTACCGCCATCCAGGTGCCTTTAGGTAACTAAAGGTGCCGGGGTTGCGGTGCCACCGGCTTGGGCCCGCAATCGCTGCTCGCAGCTATATTTAAGTATATATATGGTGCCTTTAGTGTTATTGTGCACGACTTAACCCACTCTTTTTTAAGTATATATATATATATATATATATATATATATATAAAGAGGGTTATTCTGCACGACGTGCAAAAACTTAACCCCCGCTTTGACTATCGAAGAGAAGTGTGCTGAAGAGCTTGCATTAGTGAGGGCTCTGCAATATATATATATATATATATATATATATATATACAAACACACACACATAACTATATATAAAGACAGAGAATATTACTTGTTTTACCTGATTAGAATGCTACATTGAAAAACAAAAATTTTAATTAATTCTCACTCAACAGAGAAATCCCCCTGCCGACTCCCCACACAGGATTGTCCTCAAACAGAGCACTAATCTTTTTATTTTTAAGTTACACATTCTACATTGACTAAAAACATATTTGATGTTTCTTTTTTAATCAGAGTATTATTTTATACAGAAAATATATAGCTAATATAGCACATGAATTTTAAATTCATTCAGCTTCAATTACCAATTTGTAGTTTACCAATTTATCTTATTTTTATTTTAAGCAAACTATACATTTAAAAGATTAGGGTTATATGCATATTTTGTCATTTAAAACAATACAAAATTGTTATGCAAAAGACAAGGACTTGCAGGAAAAATCTACAGTCAGCCACACACACCAACGCACACACACACAAACACACACACCAGCACCCCCCCTCCTCCCCACACAGACACTGATAGAGACAAGATACAAATCCAAACTACAATATCTGACTTTCTTTTGGTCTGAGCTTCTTACTGTTAATTAGAAAGTTGATCGGCTTGACAAGAACAATATACGTGGCAAGTTTTGTAAAACGAGCAAAGTTATAACACATTTTATGTGTCCTTTATTAGTCATAAAATTAATTTCCTCGCCACGGCCAAACCATTCGAGATATCAAAAATCCCTCTGGAATTGAGCATCCTCAATGTCTTGACTTCATGCACACCGAGTTTGGTGGTGATTGGTAAAAACATGCGTTGTAATTTGATGTATTTCTCCTAGGAGATTTAGTCAAACAACCCATAATTCCCGACTTCCATTTGAACTGTTGTAAAACTTAGAGCAAGAAAGTTGTTTGGCCTGATGTGATCTATAAGTGTACCGAGTTTCATATTATTACATGCAAGTGTGTTTGATTTATGGACCAAATTTTCAGATCA